ACAGGTTTCCATTAGAAAAAGCCATCAATTCGGCAGACTATAAAATATGCTCTCGGGATTAAGACCTTTCTCGTCCTCCCCGACCTTTGCCTTTCAGGGAAAGTGCAAGTTTGATAAAGATATGCATCTCTTCAAGTAAGACTTGTGACCTGCCGATGTTTTTTGCCTTGACAAATAATCTTGTGATTTAGAATTAGCCACAAAATTCTACAACCCTGTATCAAGAGTATTTGTACACATTACACCTGCAAATAAATAAATAAAAGTCTGCTGAATTTACTAAGCAAATTCAGATTCATCTAACAAACATCTCTCAGCAGGGCAAGAGGCTTGATAAGAAAAGACTAATCCTAATGAAGGTTAGACTAATTCTAATGAAGACTGTCTCCAAACAAAGGGAAAGAACATCTGTGTGAAATCTAAGTATTAAAAATGACAGCTATAAAACAAGTCTGAAAACTAAGGAAACCAGCTAACAGAAACATGAAGATTCACTCTACTAGTCCCTCTGTTTTTGAGTATGCTTGAAAATGTCTGTAATTTAAAAATCAAAAAAATTAACACATAAGCAAGTTTAGAAAAGCTCTCAGAACTCCACAAGCCTTCAATTACAGTAAGATGGGCTAAAACTGGCCAGGTGCAGTGGCTCACGCCTGTAATCCCAACACTTTGGAAGGCCAAGGCAAGCGGATCACCCAGCTAATTTTTGTATTTTTAGTGGAGACGGGGTTTCACCACATTGGCCATGCTGGTCAGGAGCTCAAGACCAGCACGGCCAATGTGGCGAAACCCCGTCTCTACTAAAAATACAAAAATTAACCAGGTTTGGTGGCACATGCCTGTAATCCCAGCTACTTGGGAGGCCAAGACCAGAGAACTGCTTGAACCCAGGAGGCGGAAGTTGCAGTGAGCCAATGTGGTGCCACTGCACTGCAGCCTGGGCAACAAGAATGAAAACTCCGTCTCCAAACAAAAAAAGATGGGCTAAAACGTAAGCTTAGCATGTCTATGATATGCACAGAACCTGAATGAACGTAAACAAGAAGGACCAAAAGAAAAACATAAAACAAGGTCTTGGTTATGGAGGCCAGGTAAAGCTAGTCTTGTTTACCGCATAAATTCAAAAGTCAGCAGCTGCTTCGGAATGTACAAACTGTCAGTCGTGTGGGTCAAGGTCGATCTAAATAATTATAAGCTTGCTTGGCTCAGAGAACACTGAAGTTTATACACCAAACTACACTATATTATTGGTACAGTTAATTAGAAACGGCAGCAGGAGGCCTAGGGTAAAGACCATCCAGAGGCATTAACACCGGGGAACACCTCGGGCTTGTTGCACAGCAGGGAATACTGCTCTGGTCCCAGGAATGCCTCTTCAACATGCAGACTGTATGACGGCCTCGTAAAGAGGGCTCAAGCAAAGATCTCTGAGAAGGGAGGTGACCCCTGCTCACGAGATCCGAGAGGGTCTTTGCAGATGGGAGCTGGCAAGGAGGAGAAAAGCTTTGCAAGGCAGAGATCATGGAACACCCCAGGCTCTGCCTAGGTTCTCAGAATAAGGAGTGATTTTAATTGCTCTATGTCCCCAATGCTCGGGAGATAAAAGCCCCTTGATACACTGGGTGTGGTCAGACCAGGTGGCTCCTCATCCACTATACTTCTGATGCCTCAGCACCCTGATAAAAATTGGTGATAAACTCAGAGTACCAGCTTAGCATGTCTTGGAAGGATCTCAAGTGCTGTTAAATGCTCAGAGCATTAGTTTAGCATGTCTTCGAAGGATCTCAAGTGCTCTCCACCTGCCTGGCTATTTTACCTACTCCTTTACACTCCCCCCTCCATGCCCATAAGATCAATGAGATTATGCACATGGTAAAAGTGTCTGGGGCCCAAAGCTCTGGGCCAATGCAGTTCCCAAGCTTGCCTTGGTCCCCAGGACCCATGCTGTAAACTCTACTCAGTGTCTCTGTCTTTATTTCCTTTTCTTAATCCCTCGTCACCGTCAGGACTAAGGTCACCCACGTACAGGATTGGGGGCTGGTACCCAACATAAACATCTGGTACCCAACAAGTCAGGGATAGTTGCATGCTGACCTGCTTTCCACAACCTACTGAACTGACTTTTGAATTTACACTATGAAGAAGGCTGGCTTTATCTGGCTTCAAAAAAACAAAATCACGTTTTATGTTGCTTTCTGTGGTGCTCATTTCTTCTCTTTGATTAATTACTTTTATACCAGTAAAATGAGGAGAGGAGCAGTAGACTGGGATACAAATCTCTGCCCAGGGCTCTTTACCCAGCTCCTGTGTGCTTGATGTGATCTCCACCATCATATGCCGTCAACATGATGCACTCAGTGACTCATTCCTGCAAGCTACAGGATCCAGTTAGGTTAATTTAGGATCATTTCATGAACGAAGGAGAAGGAGAAGGAGTTGGAAGTCGGGGAAGGAGGGGAGTAATTTCTTTTAAGGACAAATTTATAAGCAGAAAAATACAAATTAAAAACATTAACAAAACTTTCACCAGAAAGTACAGAAGCCAAGGGTTATAGGTTGCTTTCCTCTGATTACTAACCTATATTTTAACGCAGAAATGACACATCTAAGGCCAATTACGCCCAAAAGTCTCAAAAATGCACATGTTCTACTTTTGTAGCAGTAACAAATATTATGTGGGGAGCAGGGTAAGCACAGTATTAAAAATTGGTCCACTTAATCATAGGAACAGAATTTTCCCTCTATATAACATGGAGAGAATTTCATTAAAAAATACATTAAAATCTTCAAAAAGAAAAGAGAACTGGATAATAATTCACATTTTACATGTAGCGACAGAACGTATTTTAAGGCCAGGCGCAGTCGCACACGTCTGTAATACCAACACTTTGGGAGGCCAAGGTGGGTGGATCATAAGGTCAGGAGTTTGAGACTAGCCTGGCCAACATGGTGAAACCCCATCTCTACTAAAAATACAAATATTAGCCAAGTGTGGTGGTGGACACCTGTAATCCCACTACTCGGGAGGCTGAGGCAGGAGAATTGCTTAAACCCAGGAGGCAGAGGTTGCAGAGAACAGAGATCACACCACTGCACTCCAGCCAGGGCCACAAAAGCAGGATTCCATCTCAAAAAAAAGAGGAAAAAAAAAAAGAGAAAGTTTATTTTGGCAAGTATTAGAGCCCAGAAAAAAATAAATGAAGTTTTAAAAAAGAAAGTATTTTAAAATATTTTTCATGGATATTAATAACATCAGTAATTATCACTGGAACATTTTCCAACAACAGAAATAATTACCACAAAATAGCCACAAACTTAACAATAGGAATAAGGTAATAATCATCATAAGGTATATTTTTATCTTTCAGTAGGTATTCATTTTTATGGTGTTTAACATGAAAAAAGCCTTACATACTATATACAATACTACTACAGGTTAAGATTTTCAGAAGCATATGAAATATATGAGAAAGTTCTCAGATGCATTGTAAGTAACCACTAAATTTTGAAGTCAGTTTTAAATTATAGATAAACCAGAATGTAACGTTAAGATGACATTAATCAGAAAATCATAAAAACATCTCACAGAATAAAAACACATTTGAGAAAAACCAGAATAAATCTCCAGTAATCAAACCAATTACATTTAATGTTTCAGAAAAGTTAAGTTTTAAAACATGCCTTAAAACTTTTATCTTTAAATGTATGTTACAAATTACAAAATAAGTGGCAAATTTGTCAAAAGCAAAGTTTTACCTGCAATTATGATCAATATTAAAACAAATGCAAACACACAATATGAAAAGGCAAGGACAGCAAATTCCTAACAGTGAGGGTAGTATCTCTGTCATCCCTATACCAGGGTAAATATCAAGAATCAATCATTTCATACCTATGGGCTGGTGGAGTAAAAAAAAAAGCAATCATTGCACTCTTCCTCCCTAAGCCAAGATAAACTCTCAGAATCATTTTTCAAAACAATACTTCAGGAAGCCAGGTATGGTGGTTCACACCTGTAATCCCCGCACTTTGGGAGGCAGAGGTGAGTGGATCACCTGAGGTCAGGAGTTCAAGATCATCCTGGGCAACATGACGAAAAACCCTCTCTACACAAAAAATACAAAAATTAGCAGGGCATGGTGGCTCACACCTGTAATCCCAGCTTCTCGGAATGCTGAGGCATGAGAATTGCTTGATTCTGGGAGGGAGAGGTTGCAGTGAGCCAAGATCATTGCCACTACATTCAAGCTTGGGTGACAGAGTGAGGCTCTCAAAAAAAGAAAAAGGGGGGCCAGGCAAGGTAGCTCACGCCTATAATCCCAGTATTCTGGGAGGCTGAGGTGGATGGATCACTTGAGGTCAGGTGATGAAGACCAGCCTGGACAACACAGTGAAAGCCCGTCTTCACCAAAAATAAAAAAGTTAGCCAGGAGTGGTGGTGCACACCTATAATACCAGCTACTCAGGAGGCTGAGGCAGGAGAATTGCTCCAATACAGGAGACAGAGGTTGCAGTGAGCCAAGGTCACGCCACTGCACTCCAGCCTGGGAGAGAGAGTGAGACTCCATCTCAAAGAAGAAAAAAAAAAAGAAAAGGATTCCAATAAATTTTTTATTTCAAAGACAGGCTCTATGCTTAAACAATCACTATAAAACTCAATGAATATAATACAAGGGCAAACAATTTGCAAAAAATAATGGGATATGCTATTTTCTTCTGAGAAAAGAAAGCATATTCTTTCTTACCAGGGTATACTTTGAAAGTTGACAATGAACATATTCAGGCAATAATAATTATATTAATAAGACAGAAAAATTCATACCCTTTTCGACACACACAATACATTCTCTCATTCTCTACTCACTACAATAAGGGAGTAATATAAGGCATTAAGAGTCTTGAATTTCCTGTCAAGATTCTCGACATTTTTGTAACCAACAACAAAATGAGGAGCAAATGGTTGATCTGCGGAATTAGCAGATATTAAACTTAACACTTACTTTTGCAAAGGCTTCAAAAATGTCAAAGGCAGGTGGCAGCTGAGAGGCATCCTGGATTTCTTCTCTCATGAAATGCTGAAATGTCATTACAAGTTGCCTGAGGCCCTCTTTCTTATCTTCAGTCAGTTTGTTAATATCTTTTTTAAAGAGAAAATAAATAGCACAATCTAAAAGTGAACTTTTAAAGGATAATTTTCAAGTGTTCAATGCTGGCTGTTAAGCCAGGTATTTCCTGCCTTATACCAGATTCTGATAAAGAGCAAATACATACTGTCTTATCTTTTGACAACTAAAAATAATCCGTATGCAAACTCTGTCAAATTTTGTCTGCAATGTAAGATCGAACACCTATCAAAACATAAGTGTGCATGAAAAAGCATTAAATCCAGAATCAGTAAGGTTGTGTGTTACTAGATTTTCTACATCATTCTGTACAAACATACAGACAATTATAAGTTCTTACTAAGTCAGTCAATTTAAGCAGACTTTTCCATGAAATAATTTACAACTAGGTCATGACTAAACTAATAAATAGCATCACCTCTAAGGCAAAAATACAGAAAATGAGAACTAAAAAGTTCAGATAAAGTTGAAATAGGTTAAATTTTTCATGCGGATAATACATCATGAAGAGAACAGGGGTCATGCACAACAATTTCGACTTCAAGTTATCTGAGTTGAATAAACAAGATAAAGGAGCACAGCACAGTGGCTCACACCTGTAATCCCAGCACTTTAGGAGGCTAAGCCAGGCAAATCACTTGAGGTCAGGAGTTCAAGACCAGCCTGGCCAACATGGTGAAACCCTGTCTCTACTAAAAACACAAAAATAAGCCAGACGTGGTGGTGCACGCCTACAATCCCAGCTACTCAGGAGGCTGAGGCAGGAGAATCACTTGAACCTGGGAGGTGGACGTTGCAGTAAGCCAAGATCGCACCACTGTACTCCAGCATGGGCAAAAGGAGAGATTCCATCTCAAAAAAACAAAGACAAAAAACAAGATATGATGCTGCATCAACCCAAACAGAAGGAGATGGTTCTAAAACAAAAGAAGAAAAAAAAGAAACTTCTAAAGCCAATACTATCCCCTTTAAATATCATTTTCAATTATACCACGAATGGGGTATTAAGGCTAAAAGTATACACGTTCATTAATAACATTTGAGAGTATTTCACCTAAGGTCATGTGTATGACACTATTACTAAGTAGGGCTAATGTGAAGAGTAAAACCTATGATAACAAACATTAATTATCTAACAGTAATATATCAAAAAATTATGAATACTTTGCTGTCTTATAAAACTTGAAAAGATACATCAAGCTGAACTAAAGAGTAATTCTGTTGCTTATGTCCATGTGTATTCTTTAAATTACTTACTCAACAGAATAATTAACCCAATGATTTCTTATATAGTAATTTATACTCATGGGAACTTAGGATCCCACAATTTTATATAAATCTCTACTAGATCATCTTCTTATTTGTCTGCATCCAGAAGTATTAAACTGTGCAGCAAACATACTCTATGTGCCCTGGCTAGTTTTGAGTTGAAATCACTTACAACCTCATTGAAAAGGATCTGTGCCCATACAAAGGCAAAATAAAGCCTACCTTTGCTTAACACTCAGATATGGGAAGGCTTTTAAGTCATCCCAAGACGGTGGCTACCAACATGGCAGTTTCAGAGAAGAATGATGCCACAGAGACTGAGTCATCTGTACCTTCTCCTTTCCTTAATAACTAAAAGATCCATAACTCTAAAAACTCTGTGGAATCCCCCTGTGCACTAAATCACTCTTTTCTGACATCAAAAAGAAACCAGAACAGGAAATCAAGAGACAGAAGAAGGGAAACAGGGAGGGAAAAAACAAGAAAAATGATTTCGTCAACTGGACTAATGGTCATGCTACCCCATCTAACCTGAACATCTCTATGGTGCTTTACTAACTCCTCTTTTAGGACAAAGCTACCCCGGAATCAGTGAAATAAACCAGTATAACAGTTGTATATAAAAACAAGTTTTGTTAGGTTTGCAACACATTATAAAGAAACAGAAAACAAAGTTAAAAATAAACTTGTTTACCGAGTAAACAAATTATAGAAAAATTTTTTAAGATGTTGATAGACAATCACTTACTTGACTCCAGATCATAAAATGAGTAAAGCTTCTCTGATTCTGAAGGTGATCCTTCCATCTGTGAAGGAAAGGGGAAAAACACCAATAACAATTTCAAGCGTTCCAATATATAAACAAATATGTTTGACTACCTTTAGATATTTAAATGAAAGTCTATCAAAAAGAACATTTCTATATATATTCTTTCTATTCATCACTCAAAATAAAAATCTAACTTGTATCTTCACTCAACAGTTTAATCTCCAAATGCAAAATTCTTGTACAAGAAGTTTCCATATTTTTATATTCCTAAAATCCTCTATAAAATTGTATACTGGCCAAAACAGTCAGTAAACAATAGGAAAAGGTGGGGCATGGTAGCTCACACCTATGATCACAGTACTTTGGGGGGCCGAGGCAGGCAGATTGCTTGAGCCCAGGAGTTCAAGGCCAACCTGGGAAACATAGTGAACATATAAAAATTAGCCAGGCATGGTGGCAAGCATCTGTAGTCCCAGCTACTTGGCAGGCTGAGTTCGGAGGGTGAGCTACGACTGTGCTACTATACTCCAGCCGTGGTAACAGATCAAGTCCCTGTCTCAAAAAAAGAAAAAAAAAATGAAGAACAAATCGGGAGCCTGCAATAATTTGAGAAAGATATTCATGCTAAAGACAGGTAAAAAAAATCTGAAAGGCTTCACCACAGAAGAATTTCACAGAATTTACTGTTTTGCCACTTGCGAAAAAGGGCCAAAGAAATCACTTCAATGAATTCTATGAAAAAAAGATAAGGATAAGTACTCTTCCAGTGAATATTAATTATCATCTTCTTTGAAGAGGCAAGTAGAAAATGTCATGCTTGCCCTGTGTGTTAGTTCACAACAGCAGTTATAAAGGCAATGTAACAGAGATCACTTCCATCTCATATCACAAATATAGAACCATCTCCATCTTTATTCTCACAGGAAGACAGCAGGGCCTTCAAGAGAGACTGTATATTTCTTCACTGCTACAGATTCTGTGACTGATAGGAAAAGAACACATTTTTTTTGTCTTCAGAAACTCCCTGGAATAATCTATCTTCTACATTAACATGGGGTTAATTTCATCCTTAAAGAAGAGTAACAGAGGCATACCTCATGTTATCGCACTTCACTTTATAGTGCTTGCAGATATTACACTAAAGGTTTACATCATCAAACAAGTCTATCAATGCCATTTTTCTAACATGTGCTCGATTTTTGTCTATGTGTGACATTTTGGAATTCTCACAATATTTCAAACTTTGTTATTATTATATCTGTTACTGTGACCTATGATCAGTGATCTTTAATGTTACTACTGTAATTGTTTTGGGATGCCACAAACTATCCCTATATAAGACCATAAACTTAATCAATAAATGTTGTGTGTGTTCTCACTGCTCCGTGAACCAGCTACTCTCACTGACTGGCTATTCCCCTATCTCCTGCCTCTCCTCAGGCCTCTGTATTCTCTGAGACACAACAATATTCAAATTAGGCCAATTAGTAACTTTACAATGACCTATATGTGTTCAACTGAAAGGAAGAGTTGCACATCTCTCATTTTAAATCAAAAGCTAGAAATGGGTATGCTTAGTGGAAAAGTATTGAAAGCTGATATAGACGATAAGTTAGGCCTCTTGCACCAAACAGCCAAGTGGTCAATATAAGGGAAAAGAAAATGAAAAGAACTAATCCCATGAATATATGAATGATAAGAAAGCAAAACAACAGTCTTCTTGCTGATACAGAGAAAGTCTGAGTTGCCTGGACTAAAGATCAAAAAAACAGCCACAATATTCCCTTGCACCAAAGCCTAACCCAGAGGAAAGTCCTAACTTGATTCAATTCTATGAAGGCTGAGAGAGGTGAGCAAATTGCACAAGTTGGAAGTTAACAGAGGTTGGCTCACAAGGTTTAAGGAAAGAAGCCATCTCCATTACATAAAAGCGAAAGGTAGGGGAGTACGGTGGCTCATGCCCATAATCCCAGCACTCTGGGAGGCCAAGGCGGGCAGTTTACCTGAGGTAAGGAGTTCAAGACCAGCTTGGCCAACATGGTGAAACCACATCTATAGTAAAAGCACAAAAAATTAGCCGGGCATAGGATGGGTGCCTGTGGTGCCAGCTATTGGGAAGCTGAGGCAGGACAGTTGCTTGAGCCTGGGAGGCAGAGGTTGCAGTGAGCCAAGATCATACCACTGCACTCCAGCCTGGGTGACAGAGTGAGACTCCATCTCAAAAAATAAATAAATAAATCTAAAAAAGCACAAGGCAAAGTAGCAAGTGCTGATGCAGCAAATGATCCAGAAGATCTAAGTAAAATAATTGAATTTTATAACACTAAACAACAGATTTTTAATGTAGATGAAATGCCTTATATTGGAAGAAGATGTCATTTAGGACTTTCATAGCTAGAAAGAAGTCAATGCCTAAATTTTAAGAACAAGTTGACCCTTTTTTCAGGGACTAATGCAGCTGGTGACTTTTAAGTTGAAGCCAGTACTCATTTACCATTCCTAAAATGTCAGCAATTTACTAATGTCCTTACTAATCATGGTAAATCTACTCTACCTATACCCTACCAATGGAACAATGAAGTGTAGATGACAGCACAACTGTTACAGCATGGTTTACTGAGTATTTTAAGTTCACTGTTGGGACCTACTGCTCAGTAAAAAAAGATTTCTTTTAAAATGTTACTGCTCATTGACAATGCATCTGGTCACCCAATAGCTCTAACAGAGGTATTTTAAAACTTCAGTGTTGTTTTCCTGCCTGCCAGCATGACCTTCATGCTGCAGCCCATGAATCAAGGAATAATTTTGACTTTCAAGTCTTATTTAAAACTATATTCCACAAGGCTAGAGCTGCCACAAATACTGACTCCTCTCATAGATCTGGACAAAGTAAATTTTAAAAACCTTCTGTAAATGATTCACCATTCTAAATGCTATTAAGAATATTTATAAGGCCGGGTGTGGTGGCTTAAGCCTGTAATTCCAGCACTTTGGGAGGCCGAGGCGGGTGGATCACGAGGTCAAGAGATCAAGACCATCCTGGTCAACATGGTGAAACCCCGTCTCTACTAAATACAAAAAATTAGCTGGGCATGGTGGCACGTGCCTGTAGTCCCAGCTACTCAGGAGGCTGAGGCAGGAGAATTGCCTGAGCCCAGGAGGCGGAGGTTGTGGTGAGCCGAGATAGCGCCATTGCACTCCAGCCTGGGTAACAAGAGCGAAACTCCGTCTCAAAAAAAAAAAAAGAAAAGAAAAAAAAGAATATTTGTAAATCATGTGGGAGGTCAAAACATCAACATTAATAGCAGTTCAGAAGAAATGGATTCCAACCTTCATGGATACCTCTGAGGAGTTCAAGATTTCCGCAGACAAAGTAACTACAGATGTGACGGACAGAACAAAGGAACCGGAATCAGGAAGAAAACCTAGGAAATACGCTGCTACACATCGGCCTTTGGAAAGAATTATGACTAAGTCCTCAAAAGCAACTGCAACAAAAACAAAATTGACAAGCAGGATCTAATTAAACTAAAGAGCTCCTGGACAGCAAAAGAAATTCACAACAAACAGCCAACTTACAGAATCAAAGAAAATATTCGCAAACTATGCATCCAACAAAGGTCTAATATTCAGAATCTATAAGCAACTTAAGCAATTCATCAAGTAAAAAACAAACAACCTCATTAAAAAGTGGGCAAAGGGCCACCACAGGAGCTCACACCTATATAATCCCAGCACTATGGGAGACCAAGGTGGGAGAATTTCTGGAGCCCAGGAGTTGGACACCAGCCTGGGAAACACGATGAAATGTCGTCTTTCCAAAACAAAAGAAAAAACACAAAAACTAGCTGGGAGTGGTGGTGTGCACCTGTGGTCCCAGCTCGAAAAGCTGAGGTAGGAGAATTGCTTGAGCCCCACAGGTTGAGGCTGCAGTGAGCAATGATCATGCTACTATACTACATCCTGGCGCAACAGAGTGAGATCCCGTCTCAAAGAGTAAAAATAAAAAGTGGGCAAAGGACAAGGACACTTGTCAAATGACGATATACAAGCCACCAAAAAACATAGGAAAAATGCTCTGTGTTACTCATCATCAGAGAAATGTAAATCAAAACCACAATGAGATACCATCTCATACCAGAGTGGCTATGAATAAAAAGTCAAAAATAACACATGCTGGTGAGGGAAGAAAAGGGAACGCTTATCTACTGTTGGTGGGAATGTAATCTAGCTCAGCCACTGTCGAAAGCAGTTTGGAGATTTCTCAGAGAACTTAAAACAGAGTTACCATTCAACCCAGCAATCCCATTATTGGGTATATACTCAAAGGAAAACAAATCGTTGTACCAAAAATATACATGTACTCATACATTCATTGCAGTGCTATGCACAAAAGCAAAGGCATGGAATTAATCAAGGTGCCCATCAACAGTAACATGGACAGAGAAAATGTGATATATAAACACTGTGAAATACTACACAACCATTAAAAAGAGTGAAATGTATTTTGGAGCAACATGAATGCAGCTAGAGGGCATTATCCTACGTTAATTAACATAGAAACAGATTTTCACTTATAACTGAGAGCTAAATATTGGGTGGACACGGACACAAGGATGGGAATAACAGACACTGGGGAATACAAGGGGGAGGTGAGACGCAGGGAAAGGAGCAAGGGATGAAAAACTAGCTACTGAGTACCATGCTCCCTAACTCAGTGACGGGATTCATCATACCCCAAACCTCAGTATCATGCAATATACTCATGTAACAAATCTGCACGTGTACCCTGAATCTAAAATAAAAGCTGAAACTTTTTTTAAAAGAGAGAACTAAAATTAGAAGTAGAGCCTGAAGTGACTGATTTACTGCAATCTCATAATAAAACTTCAAAAGATGAGCAGTTGCTTCTTATGAATGAACAAAGTAATTTCTTGAGATGGAAACTTCTCCTAGTGAAGATGCTGTGAGGCATCACATGTTATAGTGAAACCATTTGTGAAAAGAAGAGCCAATCGATGCGGCAAATTCTATTGTTGTCTTATTTTAAGATATTGCCACAGCCACCCCAAACTTCCACAACCACCACCTGAATCAGTCATCAGCCATCAACATCCAGCAGCAAAAGAGTATGATGCACCAAAGGCTCCAATGATCCTTAGTACTTCTAGAAAAGTATTTCTAAATTAAGATATACACATTGCTTTGGTTGGCATAATGTTATTCCACACTTAATAGACTACAGTGTAATGTAAACATAACTTATGTTTACTGGGAAGCCAAAAATTTTGTGAGACTCACTTTATTGCAAAAATTTGTGAGACTCATTTTATTGCAATATTTACTTTATTGTGGTGGTCTGAAACTGAACCTGCAATATCTCTGAGGTACACCTGAAAATGCAACTGCATATGCTTATTTAATGACAACCCAGGCATATTTCATGAGTTTATACTCACAAGTTTGAAGACAACTCTGCCAAGAAGTCGAACGGAGTCTGGAGGATATCTGGGTTTGCAGCTTTTAAGGCATTTGCATTCCCGCTTGTGGTCCGGCCAAGCTTTTTTCTATTAAGACAAGAGTTGGGAGAACACAGGTGACCTAAAATTTAACTTTCATTTACACTGGTTTTGAGCATGAAGAGTCATCAACATTAAATGTTACTAGTCCAAATGTAACTGCACAATAGAAAACAAAACCAACATTCTACATCTGAAAATAATCCAGGATGAGTCTTTGCCAAGTATGCAATTACTACGCAAGGAAATTTAAAGCTTCAGCTTCACCTCTGTGCTTTAATTTGTCCCCTGGTTATTACCTGGCTGGTGGAGTCCAAAGAAAGAACCATTACAGCTTACTTAGTAAGTATAATATGGTCTTTTAACTGATTAAACAAGATTCAACAAGTCATTTTGAATACAAAAAGAAAATGTCACTCCAAATTAGAAAATAAAATACATGGTTCGGAAGATTCAAAATAGGAATGACAGCCTTCTGAATTTTTGTGCTGCTACAGAAATATCAGGAGGGCTAACTTACCCAAATATAAAACCTTCTTGTTTTTAAAAGCAACATAAAAAGAGTTATTAAAAAAAAGTTATTAAATATCCAGTTTGTCCTGGACATGTCTAAGTTTATATATATGTCTTAGCTTAAATTTTTTTTTTTTTTTGGAGATGGAGTTTCGCTCTTGTTACCCAGGCTGGAGTGCAATGGCGCGATCTCGGCTCACTGCAACCTCCGCCTCCTGGGTTCAGACAATTCTCCTGCCTCAGCCTCCTGAGTAACTGGGATTACAGGCACGCACCACCATGCCCAGCTAATTTTTTGTATTTTTAGTAGAGACGGGGTTTCACCATGTTGACCAGGATGGTCTTGATCTCTTGACCTCGTGATCCACCCGCCTCGGCCTCCCAAAGTGCTGGGATTACAGGCTTGAGCCACCGCGCCCGGCCTTTTGGCTTAAATATTAATAGTGCCCCTTTTCACTCTGAAAAGTTCTCATTTCGATGACAAATTATGCGGTCACCTATGACAGGATCCTAGCCATGTGCTGGTGTGGCTGAAGAGACCACTGAGTCAGTTGTCAATCTAAGGATGAATGGACTAAAGGGAAGGAGACTATCCCTGAGCCTTGGATCAGAAAGGCTACGGCTCCTTTCACATGGAATCACTTTTACATAGAAATAAAATCCAGAGCATCTAATATTTAGCCCTGGCAAGTAGGAGGAGCCTCAATCAAATGTCTCTTGTGTTATATTCTTAAAACTGGAATTTCCATTACTAAAATGCCTGATATCCCATAATTTCTTACTTCAAAAATTGTAAATCTCTTTCCCACCTTCTGGGTCTATAAAATCCTCCTTATAGGGACTGCTCTCATTTCCACATGCAGCAGAAACATACAGCACAACCAAAAATTTCGAAAGAGCTGCAGCTACTTCAAAAGTATGACTTAGATTCAAAGTCAAGCCAACATTTTGCTCAGAAAGACTATCCATGTCAATCTGTTCGGTGACACCTTGGTTTGTCTGCTATTTCTTAGTAACCCATGTGGTGGAGACACTGTTTATAACAGGTATACCACTTCTTCCATCAACTCTACTCACAGTTGCCTCACTTCCACTGTGGCAACCCTCTCAGTGTGCTGTTCATAACTTTTGTTTTAGTATTTACACTTCACTAACATCTAAACAAGACTGAGCTGATTCAAAGTAAAGATATATATGAAATAAGACTGCAAAACCAGAAACAGAAAATACTAAAATTATGGAGTGGGTTAAGAGGAAAGCACAATAGCATTTATTTAGCATTCTACAAAGTACTAGACACACAGCTAAGCAAATAACAAAGCATGTTTTATTTGATTTTTATAATAATCCAAATGGTAGGTATTATCCTTCTATTAAAGATAAAGAAAGTAAGGCTCAAAAGCTGATATCTAACTATCAAACTGCCTAAACATAAAAAGGGAGAGTAAAAAATCTTAGCATGCTAAATATGAGAGCTGAATAATTCGTGCATTACATTCATTTGAGTGTTTGTACATTAATTTGAGTTGCCTTACAAGCAAGGCAAAAAAAGAAGGCATAATGGTTTATATAATTCTCAATTGACAGAAAGGAAAAACATCATTTCATCAAGTATGAAATCACAGGAGGGATTTATTCCAAGAACGCTAATCAACATACTCAACGACGTCCTTTACAACAGTTCACAACTATGGCCTTTCATCTGACTTCTGTATCAGTACTCACTAAAAGGCATAATATTAAAATATAACTCAGTGAAGAAAAATGCTTCTGTTGCTCAGGGGGCTAGTCCTGGACTAGCAATTAGCAATTACCAGTGTGTGTAAGGTGCCTAAAATATATATGGTACAATTGTCAAACAAGTTTGAAAAACACAGCATGTTGACCCTAGAGATTCAAAATATACTTCGTAACCTAAAAGTTCTAAAAATCTATGCATTAAAGAAATGTGTGTAAATTATTTAACATAGTTTCTCATGCTTGTTATTGCCACCCATTGGGAAATTGGGTTGGTATTCACTGACTCAGAAATACATACATACACATACATATATATACTATACGTGTATGCCTATGTATATGTATACACACACATACATACATATACATATATGTATAGTATATATATGTATAGTATATATATGTATATGTATGTGTGTGTGTGTATACATATATATTTTTTTCACCCGGTCTTTGAATACAAGTAGGTTCAGCTATAAAATTTACATTCATTTGCACTCACAAGAAACAAGAGCACTGAGTTTTTTGGTTTTGTTACTGGTATAAGGGTGATCCACACATTGGCGGAAGTTTTCATTTAATTTTCAAAGTTGAGAAACCTGACAGATGCTCTCAATGGACAGACGTGCAGGCAGAAACGGGTAACACAGTGCCAGCTGGTCAATCAGAAAGCACCTTTGGCTCTGTTCAAATGCCTTACTGTCCAGCTGAACAGGGCTCAAACTCAGCATAACAAGGTAGGGATCATTTGAGGCAAAAGGCCCTAAGAGCAGATTTTAATCATTGCTCATTTTAACTACAAGAGATCATCCATAACCCTTCTGTTAAAACCTAAAGATTTGAGCAGCTCAGCTTCCTGGTGGCTTACCAGGGTGAGATAACTACAAAATGTACACCAGATAATAAACAACTGATTAGTTAGATGACAGTATTTAGAATTAAACATCCAAATTTTGGAGAATTCCTGTTAAAACAACTCTAGGTCCTTAACATAACTGATATTGAGCTCTTACTTCTCAACAGTAACTAGAAATTAGACAAAATGTTTCTTAAACTTATTCTTAGATCACTACCTGAAAACATACTTATCTTCTCATTTGCATCAGCAAAAAAAATGTTCATTATTTCCATCTAAAAATCAAATCAGACCATTTAGGTATAAATAAAGCAAGCAATTGTAACACTTAAAATTGGTCTGTAATATGATACCAAGTATCAGCCCATCCCATTTCTTTTTTAAAATGTTAATTGCTAAAATTTATCATTCAGCTTCACCTATCACATCTTACCCTAAGGGTTACAAATGTAAGCATACCACAGAAACGGCTTACAAAGAAATCTTTTACGCAGCTCCATTTGACTTTGAAGCAAAACTTGACAATCATACAAAAACAAAAGGCATTCTCTTCACTCAACAAGCTAACCTTGGTCAACACCTCAATGACACATTTGTCATATATATTTGCAATCTTCTCAAAAGATAACCCCCTTCTTGATTTACATTTTTTCCTATTTTCTTACATTATTTCCAACACAGGACATAATTAAGATTTTGCTCACAATATTGGCTGTAGTACTTTCTGTTGTCATAGCTGAAAATTAACAATGATGTAAATAAGCATAAAATGGCTTGAGAGACAAAGGAAATTAAAATATTACATTCAGAAGCAAAAACAAAAGGAGACAAGAGTTTTATGCTCAAAAAAAAAGGAAATGACATTTATAACACAATTCTTTGAGTGCACCCATGACTCAAAAAACAACTTCAGAATCCACATATATCCATAATGTATTTTATAGTATTTATAACAGTTCACAACATAAACTAATTAACCACACCAGTAGTTCTCAATGGGAATAACGCCTATCTTCAGGGTTGTTTGAGAAATTTATGGGGGTATTTTTATTTGCCACAATGTTTATGAAATATTACAAGCACTTAATGAGCAGGAACCAGAGGAGTCAGATATTCTATGTAGCACAGTTCTACAGAATGAAAAATTATCCAAATCCAATGCAACTTTTAAGTGTCCTACCAAATTCTATGAAGGCGGAAAACTTGTTTATAATTATCTGAGTGTAGAAAAATCTCCTTTTACATTTAAAAACAAAGAACTTGTTTTTACATAATCCTAACAGCACTGAATACTATAGGTAAATCAAGGGAAGGCTGTATTTTAAGAACGTTATCTAAATTAAAGTCATATCATTGAAGGCAACACCATTCAGAGAATCTGAGTTACCAATACAACATGCCTTCTGACCTGCATTTGTACTTCTCTTCTCACAGTGACCCTATGTATAGGTGCAAATACGTGACTAATGATGTCTTCTAGTCTAATCATACCACAGCATTTATGTACTAAAACACATATATTTTATCATAGCTTTTAATCTTCTTTTTCCTTATATTCCAATAACAGCATTATATTAATATTTTGAAAATATATAACTAGGTATATTGCATTACCTGTGTAATTGCATTTCAAAATAGTAAAAAGGGCAATAAACATATTTCTCATAAAAATGGGGAGTTGGGTCTGAAAAGAGCTGAAAAGCCCAGATCTAGAACAATGCTACACAGTTATACATGTCACACACATATAAAAGGATATATTTTTAAATACATAGCCTAAGACCCATCCTAGGGATTCTAACAGTACCTGTGAGACAGAATCAAGTGTCTCACTGCAGGACTGCTACGGTTTAAATGTGTACCTCAAAGTTCATGAGCTGGAAACTTATTCCCCAATGCAACATGTTAAGAGGCAGGGTCTTTCAGCAGCACAGCACTC